AGCAAAGGACAATATTTTTAGAGCAAGAGAGTACTTCGCAATAGCAGAACCTATTTGGTTTTGCTTGTAGAGATTGTTTCCCTCATCTTTTAAACCCTTAACAAAATTGAGAATACCAAAAGGATTCTCCAATTGTTCAACTAAAAATTCCAACCCATGAGAAGAGACATCATTCTCTTCAACATGTGAAATACACAAGATCCCCCTTAGTTCCTCAAAGCTAGCCATTAAAACTTAAACACACTTATTAAAACACCAAAGACAAAGCTGAACTAAACAACTAGGCTTCCCTTAATTACACAAAAGGGTAGACCATACCAAGACAAAGAGCAGGCCGACGATAAGGAAACCCGAACTCCACTTCGTCGGTGGGACAAAGAGATAACCGGTGGCTCAAAGACGACGCCGAACTACCTACGAACCTTGAAACAAGTCACCAAAGGTACCGAAGAAGAAACCCCCAATAGAAACCCTAACCTACCAAAACTCCGAACAAACCCGAATAATATGGATTTGTGGTAGACGAAACAGGTCTAATCAAGCGCAACCCTTTAGAGACTGCTCGCCGGCAATCTTATATGAGCAGCGACGCTCAGGTCACCGGCGGCAGGAGAAAATCACGGTGTGTGGGTGTGGCTCTGTTTTAAGGAGAGAAGGCAGAGCTTTTTTTAGAGAGAGAAAGTTGCGGTAACTATGGCAATTTAGTTTAAATTTTCTTACTTTGATAGCATGAAAAAATACCAATAGTCTTATTTAGGTCAAACTCAAATATAGATTTTTTTATTTTTTATTTTTTTTATCGAACGATTGAGAGAAAAAACTACAATTCGTAATTACAACATTGAAACAAGAAATCATAATGTATACGAAAAAATTGATCTTGAGAGGAAATACTACACTACGTAATAAACTAATAACTAATGACATTATCGAAAGTTCTAAGTGATGAAGAATAAAAAGAAAGTTGCAATTACATAACTGAATGAAGAGAAAAGAGAGCTTACCAGACTCTACGAATTGTTTTTTGAGAATTTCGATCTGAATTTCAAAGATTGAAATATTGTGTGTTTAGATTAGGCCTTATGGTCGATGAGCATATGTATTTATAGGGCTTTGTATGACACAATTTTGGTGAAGTTAAGTTCTTTTACAAGTCATACTAAGTTAAATTGGCTTAGGAAAACACGTTTTGTATTGCTGATCAAATTACCTTGATTATGGAATTGAAACAGATATATTATAAAATTGTAATAATTGGTTAAATGGGTATGATAATATTTATTTTTATTACGAAAAAGGATAAATATTATTCTTTCCAGTGTAGGATTATGTTATCCAATCAAATACAACATGTTAGTGGATTAGTTTGTTTGGCTTTATAAATATAATTAAACAGTTTATAACAAAATTGGAAAGAAAGAATTAAATTAATATTGATAGGTATTATATTTTGTTATACCTCGTATACTTATCAGAATAGGATTACAACTCTTGTAAACTACTATATATAGGAATCAATGATACACACTCCAATCTGAGGAGTTTTCCCGAAATCTAACAAATATATTGAATAAGAATATAGGAATACGCATATCATAGCCTCATAGGAGTATCTATTATAAGTATCACAAAGTTTAGTATCTTTGATCTTTCGTATTCCTAGATCGAGTTATCATCCATTTTGGGATTATATCTTGCTCGTTAAGTTGTAGGTTTTGGGATTATTATTGGATTAATTAATGACTATTTTTGTAAGGAAATTGGATAAATGACGTTAAAAGCAGCCTTAATTAGTTTAATATCTTCAAAAAATAAAGTTTAATTTAATTTCTTCTTAGATTTTTTTTCCCAAGGATTCAATTCCTTCTAGCTGGATATTATGAGTCGTGAGCTTTTTAATGTTGATTTGATTTGGAGACCCCCTTGAGACAGTGTTTATGAATATGCTAATACACATCAAATTGGATATTGCATTTTATTTAATTTTTGAGAAAACAATATGCAAATTAGTCAACCTTTGTTCTACGTTACTAATGCTCTATATATATAATCATTCCTTTTGTTGTATTCGTAATTCGTAACTATTATATGTACCTACCACAATGGCTTGCTCCTCTTTTGCACAAAAAATAAATAAATAAAACCTATTTGATCCCACAATCCCACTATTCCCACATGCTACAAGGCCTAGAACTTTGTAATATGCAAATCTTTCTATTAGGTCAGAATAAACATACCGGTACAGTAAATATGAAAGTTTATATGTTTTAGGCAATTTAGGACCTGTTCATATTTATTGAATTGAGTTGAACTGAACTGATTGGAGCTGAATTGAACTGAACTGAACTGATTAGAGCTGAACTGAACTGAACTGAAAAATTAAAATGCATAAAAATATATGAAAACGTTTATGAAAATTAATGATAATATATATAGTGGATTGTGAAAAATATAAAAGTGTTTTAAAAATAACTCTGTATTTTAAATTATTATATTTTAAATTATTAAATTTTTGTGTATTATATTTTAAATATATATATAAAAATAAAAAGTATTCTTCAATATTTTACTGTAGTCAATCGTTGCTTATTGTACTCTACATAATTTTGTTCGTTTACATGAATTAGGGATTCCATTCACGCACCAAGTTGAAGTCATGGGACCAACACAAGATCATACTATGTACGATGATAACAGAAAAGCAGCTAGGGATATTGTACGAAACCAAATAACTGATCAGATATGGGAGTCAATTCAGAGGAATGCCGAGGTAATGTAGCAACTTAATGAAGAAGAAGAAGACGAAGAACTAACCGATTATGAAAGCTAGTAACTGTTGTGTAGTACTCTCATTTTGTCAATGGGTTCAACTATAAAAAAACATGTGACCATTTTGAACGACGAATATAATTTAAAATAATAATAATAATAATAATAATAATTAATTATTATTATTATTATTATTATTTTATTAGTATTATTATTATTATTATTATTATTATTATTGTCGTTGTTGTAATATGCTAAAACATCTAAAACAAAAAAATTAATAACTGAGCTGAACTGAACTGAACTAACTGAACTGAACTGAACTGAACTGATTAGAGCTGAACTGAACTGAAATGATTGGAGCTGAACTGAACTGAAAATAAGTAAATATGAACATGCCCTTAATGGATTTAAATAAGGTTAGTGAGGAAATTGGAGTATTAAAAATTGTAAAATAAGATAGTGGGGTAATAAGGGCCTGTTCATATTTACTTATTTTCAGTTCAGTTCAGTTCAGTTCAGTTTAGCTCAGTTCAGTTCAGCTCAGTTCAGTTCAGTTTTATGCATTTTAATTTTTCAGTTCAATTCAGTTCAGTTCAGTTCAGTTATGTTCAGTTCAGCTCAGTTCAGTAAATATGAACATGCCCTAAGTTATTGAAAAGGAATAATAATAAAATAAAATAAAAATTAGTAGTGGATTTGAATGGGAACCTAAAAAGAAAAAAAATACTATATAATATTTAAAAGAGAAAAATACGAAATTACCAATAAACTAAAAGAAGCCGAAATGTTTTGTACACTAATCTATATATACGGGTAGGAATCTAATTCGTATATCTATACAAATACGGAAAGTTTTAAAAAAGGAAAGTTTATTATGTTATCTCCTTTTAATCACGTTAAGAGGAGATATTTTTACCGATTATTTCATTAATTATATATTAATTTTTAAAATTTTATTAGTTTATATTGATTATGTGATATTTTTAGAAAGCACATCAACAAAATAGGAATACAGACTTGTAATTAAGGGACAGAGGAAATTTTAATGTTTTATGGACCTCATAATTTGTGTAGCTTCATTGAAAAATATAAATACGAGTGCTTGTATTATCGACTTTATGGTTTGATGTTAGGTGCTGTAGGCTAAATGCTTCCTTAACCTGGATTACTCAATAGCCAAAATTAGTTAAAAAACCACCAATAGTTGAGACTTGAGAATATTAGTGTTGAGTTAAGATATAAAGTTGAGAGTTTTAATTGACATATTCGGTTGATAGTGATTATGGAAGATAATGGCGATCAATTTATAATTAGTTTTGCACATTTAATTTTATTAGGTATTAATTTAATTACATGAAGGAAGTTCAATGTTACCAATAATTTGATTCACTTTCAATAATACTTAACATCTATTCATCCCTTGTCCAGGCCATGATTGAGGCCATGCATTGTTTCTTCCTCTTAAATTTCATCACCACTTGACCGTAAGTGATACACTAATATACATACATATACATGATCGATAAATTACTACCTCCGTTACATATTATTTGTAAAGATTACACATTTTTCGTCTTTATTTTATGTTAAATCGTTGTAAATAATATGTAATAGAGGTAGTATAAAGGATATCACATGTTTGGAGATGGATTTATATTTGTCGACATATGTTCATTGACTTATGATTTCTTTTCCAAAAAATACTTGTATGTTTATCATATTAATTTATTATCAATAAACCACTTGATATAATGTTATCTACATCCTCCAAGTCTACGTAAGTAACGTAAAATTCTAAAGTCTAAATATAACCTGGTCTTTATCTAGTTTAGAACAGCACTTAAAAATTAAACGTGCACAAAGCCACCACCAAATTAGACCTTTTCTAAGCAATTATTATTCCTTTTTTATTTTGATAATATAAACAATTACCCTTATGGAGTATAATTTAATTAAACAGAACTATATAATATAATCTGACTAATCATTCTTAAGATGAACTTGTTTTTATAATAATTGTACAATTAATTAGGAACAGCTAGTAGCTTTAGTTTATTAGAGTCAAATTGTTAACCAAGCCATTTATTGGAATTTCATATATAAATGCATGTAACTTGTTAATGTTAGTTTCCATAATTAAAGCATAATTTCTTGCATCTTCTTCATTCATTATCTTCACCTCCAATTTCAATCTGGTTTTATTGTGTTGAAATAACGTTTATTCGAAAATGGCGGCAATGCCTCAAGCACAAGATCCTCCTTCAGTGATCAAATTCAACAACGAAAACAAGAAGCTTATTACCATCCTTAGCATGGATGGTGGTGGAGTTCGCGGTCTTATTCCTGCTATTATTGCAAGTTTTCTCGAGCAACAACTTCAAGAATGTCGTCTATTTTGCACTTTAAATGAACGTATGTATGTATCACACACGTCCAATACGATTATTCATGATAGAGTTATGCGAAAGAGAAAGTTCAATTTTTTTTAAAAAAAAAACAAAGGCTAAGTTATTGTGATCCATTACTACATTACTATTGATTAATTCTCTTGCAGATTTTATGTTAATTTATTTTATTTCAGTAATAAAAAAAAATTAAAGAAAAAATAATATCAATTAATTTGCATGAAACCAAAAAGAAAGTGTTGATGAAAAAATTTCAGATGTAATAAAATATCAATTTTGGTAGATAAAATTTTGTTTTGATAAATGTATTTTAGTTGTGGCGATGTTAAAAGCATTATAAGTCAACTATAGTTACGGATATTAAAGGTATAAGTCAACATAAATTTTTGTGATTGATAAGAATTGGTTTAATCTTTGAACAACAATTTAATCAGCAGAAAATAATTTTAATGTTTAGCTACAATAATTAATTAATAAGGCAATTCATTAGACAAGGATTTCTCAAAAAAAAAAAAAAAAAAAAAAATCATTAGACAAGGAAATGGAATATAATTTTATTTATATATGCATGCCTACTACTTTTAGAAAATATATTAGAATAAATTTATGTATGTACAATTATTTTGATGGAAATCGGTCTCACCAAAAAGGGAATATATTCACACTAAAATACTCCGTCTCTTAATACAAAACCTCTTTTTAACATTTATTACTCATTTTATAAAGAAAAAAAAAACTTTTAATTTAGGAACGGAGGGAGAATGATTTTATTAATTTATTTATTAATATTTTTTAAAAAAGAAATTGGACGGTGAAGATGCAAGATTAGCAGATTATTTTGATGTGATTGCTGGAACAAGTACTGGTGGTATAGTAGGTGCTATGTTAACAGCACCAGATGAAAATAATCGGCCTCTTTATGCTGCAAAGGATATCGTCCCTTTTTATCTAGAACACTCCCCTAAGATATTTCCACAAGAAAGGTGCGCGTTATAAAATTATTTGAACGTTTGAAATTTTACGCTATTCACATGCTACTCTCATGGTCTAATGTGTGCTCGCACTACTTGTATGTGTCATATTGATTGGTTTTCCTTTGGATGCATTGCAGCGGAGTATTTAGCTTTTTCAAATCAATGACAGGGCCTAAATATGATGGCATTTATCTGCATAATTTGCTGAGAAGAGATTTAAAAGAAATGAAGCTTCATCAGACTTTAACAAATCTCATTATTCCAGCTTTTGATATTAAGTTGCTCCAACCAATTATATTTTCTTCTTTCAAGGTTGGCTTGAATATTTTTGCTACTATTGTATTGTTCATGAGCATAATGCACATCATGTTTTCAGTGCTGTGTCCTTGAGTGCACAATTAACGATATTTTGTGATTCTTTAGATACCAGCTCAACCTTCTATTAATGCAAAGCTATCTGATATATGCATTGGTGGATCGGCTGCCCCAACATTTCTCCCCTCATATCAATTTGGAGATCCAAGTGTTAGGGAATTTAACCTTATTGATGGTGGAATTGTGGACAATAATCCGGTATAAAAACAACGAAACCTTTTTCATATTAATCTTGACTTATTGTATATTATACTAATGATTTAGGTTGCAATATAATTACATATAGAGTAGTTCAACATTATATAAGCTAAGTATGCACAATAACCAGAATGCATTAGGTGAGACAGACTTACAATAACTTATTGTGAGACATTAAAAGTTAATTAGTATAAATCGACACATTTAAGATTTTGACAATTAACAAATATTTTGGTTTTCTTTGTCCAGACTTTGATAGCTATGATTGAAGTGAGCAAACAAATGATAAAGGAAAACCCAAATGCTCACCGAATGCATGATGGAAGGTTGCTAGTGATTTCAATAGGAAGTGGATCAGCAAAAAATGAGGAAAAATATAATGCTAAAATGACAGCAAAATGGGGGCCTCTTTCTTGGATTATGAATGGTGGATCAACTCCTATTATAGATTGTCTCTTTGAATCTGGAGCTGATATGGTTGATCTTCACAATAATGTTCTTTTTCAGGCTACTCAAACTCAAGACAACTACATTCGTATTCAAGTAAGCAGATCGACGCATTACACTGTATCAGTAATAGCTTTATACACCATGAGGCACTCGTGTACACACGGATGATCACGAGCTTGCTGGTATACTAGTATAATATTTATACACCATACACCATGCACTTGAGTTTGGGCTGGTCTGGTCTGGTCTAGTCAAGTCGGGTCATTTTTTTGACACCACTCATGCATGTAACTTGAACTTAATGTGTTCATACACCATGCATCACACATTCACAAACATCATTTGATCATTGATAACATTCCTTTTTATGAAAACAGGATAATAGCTTAACAGGAGTAGCAACATCACTAGATGTATCAACAAAAAAGAACATGCAAAATCTGGTAAAAATTGGTCAAGAGTTGCTCAACAAACCAGCTTCACGAGTTGACCCTGAAACTGGATTTCTCGAAGCTATTCAAGACATGGGCACCAACGCAGAAGTTCTCACAAGGTTTAACCCTAGATATATTCCGAAAATTTTCAGTTCTTGTTATGTACTCGTACTTTGTATTGTATTAGATTAGATCACTGACGAAAATTGATAAACAAACCATCTTTTCTTGTTCGCTAATAGTCATATGCTTTAAGAAAAATTGGGACAATTAAATAAAGTTGTCAACTTTCTTGAATTGGTATTAATTCATAACTAGACAGCCGAAAGTAACCCTTATCTAAATCAAATCTTGTACTAATTATACGAGATTCATATCATCTGATAATTAATTTCGGACCAAGGAACAAATTATTGGTACGTGTACACCTATAACGTGTTATATAAAAATATTATACCTTAATATTACACCTTAACTCATGCATTCTTTAGCATAGATTTAGGGATTTAATTATATATTTATATCTAAAATTGTCAACTAATAGCTGGTAACATGTGCAGGCTGGCAAAACGACTCTCAGACAAAAGGAAATTCCGGAATACCCAAAAATTTGTCATTACAAAAGCACAACTGTAATATTTTTGTGTTTTTATTTAAATATTTATATTTTTTGAATTTACAGGATCTTACATAATTATCAATTACTTTGGAAAGACAAGATGTTTTCTAGCTGGTGTGTATGAACTTAAATCAAACCCCTTTAATTTTTCATTGAAAAGAGGTGTTTAACATTTAAAATATGTTATTAGAATTCCTTTTATCATTCCCTATCTAAACAGCCATTCGATACGGAAACATGAAAGGACGAAGATGAGAAGAGAGCAAAATGAAACTGAGATAATAACAGCCAGAATCATACACTGCCGAAGCACTTCTTTCTCAGAGTTACTTCTTGGTCTGCTGTGCACCAGCCAAACCAATGGCACAAATCACATCACAATTCAGATTTTGCAAGGCAGAAAGAGCTGACTTCAGTTATTAACTTTAATCTTCGAATTCCCACTTAAATTCTGAACTTGGAGCTTGACTTCCTGAGAAGAAAGCAGGAAAGATGTAAGATAGACTTTTTCGCATGCTGAAACAGATAATTAATTTACTAGGCTAGTATAGAAGAACAATGTTCACAGGATGTCATATAAGATGAGTGGCATAAGACAGCTTGGTGCTACACTACAAAACCAGTTCATATACAGCAATGCATAACAGTAATGTATAATCAGACGCCTGGCCAGGCAGCAAATAACATAAGCTTTCTTCAAAAGCCATCAGAAGATCATGTTGCAGATTGATTAGCAGATATCTAATATGATTGTAACATAATACTCTCTTTCTGCAAGCTTTCATTACTCAAGTCCTAAGCCTTGCACAATTAAAAGTTCCACAATACTCTCTTTCTGCAATTAAAAGTTCCAAGTAAGAATCACAGAAAGAGGAAGAATTAAAGCACTACAGAGTGATATTCGATGCATTTATCAATCCCATAAAAATAAAACTTTATGAAAGACAACGAAGTCAATTAAGTATTCTGTAGAAAGATTTGAATTTGAAAGAGAATCAGCAAAAATTCAGAAAATAGAACTCCAAAAGTCCAGACACTGAATACAATCAAATCAGAATAATGATCCACAAGTATCTTCCAGCAACTCCACAAATTAGTTTTCAAGTGCCAACAGCTATAGGAATTATAGGAAGTATGTTCAACCAATTTTAAAACAAAATCAGAAGCCAAAAGACAGTTGAAGAGATCACAAAGAAACTAGCAATCCTTCTAACCTTTTACAATGACGCAAGGTATCCACAGTGCCGGTGGCTGGTACACAAGCCTCCCATGACAAATGCCTGCCTATAAATTGCAAATTAAAATCGAATTAAGTACATAGGCAAGTAGTACATTCAAACAGCAACAAACAGGAGCATCTGGACCATGAAGTTATAAAATTTAACCTTGAGTCCCTCAGAATAGATGTAGGCATGTAGCTTCTGAGTCCTGACTCTAGAAATCATATATGGGTCTACAGCTACAGTACATCCACAAATTACGCTGCTGATTCGCCTACCTGTTAATAGTCCCCTTATTAATCCTAGGGACGAGAGAAGGAGAAATGGTAAGGCTAAAAAAAAAAAACAGAGAATCAGATATGAATATGGAGGGTGCCAGAAATGAAATAATCGTAAAGCTGTTTACCAAACTTAAACTATTCATACAAAAAAGAGTGAGCTATAGACTTTCAGAATGGAAACTTAATAGGGGCCTATACAAATCACTGAGATAGCAAGAAAACAAGACTGCAGTACAGAGATAAAGCCTAAAGATGCAAAGAATGGTCAAAACCTTCAAGAAGTTCCATTTTGAATTTCCAATCTGCTGGATTGCTCTTCAGCTTTCAAGCCATTTGAAGGCATTCAAACTTCCACCTATGTACCAAATTACCAATGTCACAATAGTGTAGTCACTCAGCAATCAATAAAGCATAACAACTTATTACTAATATGGATAATCAGTCGGCACCCAGCAACAACCTTCCTTCCCCCCCCCCCCCCCACCAACAAAAAAAAAGAAATAGAATAATTAAAATAGATTTGCTGCAAGCAAAAATAGGGGATGGAGTGTGGGAAGTCAGCTGAGTAGACACCCAACAGTTAAAAAAGCGGTTTTCGGAACATGCCTAGTTTAAGAGCTGAGAAAAAAATGTACATATTGAAGGTATCCCAGCCTCCCTCCTTTTTTTTTGTACCATACTGTATAGGTTTTTACTCTTTCATATTTGGTGAGACCACAATAACATACAGTACCTTTTAATTTCCCTTTTTCTGAGCCAGAAAAAGACTTGCCATGTCCGAAAATCCTTAGTAACAGAAGTGTATTAACACTGATCGCCCCTCAACGTAACAAAGAAAATCAGCTTCAAGTCCAGTAAGACAGGAAAAAGTGGGCAGCTTACTACATCACTAAGTGCATGAGACTTTTACTTTGAACCAGCACCTGAAATTATGTCATGGGCATCAAAACTTTGCAGTTAAGAATATTACAGAACATACAAATTCTGTAAGGCATAGAATTACTTTGATAGAAGCTTATCTTGGAGCAGGGGATCATAATTAGATACTAACTGAACCAACTTAAACTGCACAACTCCTTCAATTCCATCTCCTCAATTATCACCATGAGATATCTAGTCCATCTGTGTATCACCGTAACAAAGGGGAGTGTATCCTGCATCCTCCATATTAGAAGCTAACTTTGCCAGCATCTCATACACATACTCACCTTCTTGGTGCTTCCTATCCTTAGACACAAAATAGTTAACACGACCAAAAGTCTCTATCCAGCTGCAGCCAACTTCCTTCCTCTCACCTCTCTCTTGCATCTCTTTTCTGACTCTATCAGCAAGGTCCCAATACCCTTCATCTGAGTATAAGTTTGATAACAGTACATGGTATCCACTCCTACTATTTCTAGATTCCATATTGAGTAATTTATCGGCAACAATCTTTGCCAAATCATATTGTCTGTGAGTTTTGCAAGCTGCAAGAAGTGATCCCCAAGCTTGGATTGCACTACCTACCTCGCCCAATTGTTCAGCCAACTCAAAGGCCTCACTCAATCTTCCATCTCTTCCTAACATGTCCACCACACAAGAATAGTGCTCAATAGAAGGTTCAAGTCCATATTTTATCTCCATTGACTCCAGAATACTAAGACCTTCATCAACCAACCCAGCATAGCTGCATGCAGATAATACTGCAATGAAAGTGACTGCATCAGGTTTTACACCTGCACTCTGCATTTCATCGAATAAGGCAAGAGCTCTAGCTCCCATTCCATGTTGCCCATAGCCCAATATCATGTTAGTGTACGTAACAGGACTCTTAGTGGGAATCAAAGCAAACATGTTTTCAGCAGAAGCAATTGCCCCAAGCTTCGAATACATGTCTACTAAAGCAGTGCCAACAAACACATTTTGGTCTAGGGTGTGGCGGGTAGCAAAGGCATGGATTTGCTTACCCAATGCAATACTCCCAATTTGACTACAAGCTGGAAGAATAGATGCCATGGTAACCGCATTTGGAAGAACATTTCTCTTAAGCATCTGGCGAAATACAGCAAAAGCCTCTTCTATTAGCCCATTCTGTGTGTTACTAGATACCATGGAATTCCATGTTGCTTGATCTCTACTTAGCTCATCACTTATTTCAAATAGTAGTTGTGCCTTCTCTATTAAACCAGATTTAGCATACATATCTATTAGATAGCTGTCCATGCCCTGAAACTCAATGCCTTTCCTTATTAGATAAGCATGAGTCTGCTTCCCGATGAACTCACTTCTGAGATTTGATGCAGCTGAGAGTATGGCTATAACTGTTACTGCATCAACAACAAACCCCTGGTTCTGCATCTCATAAACAAGCATCAGTCCTTCATCATCCATCCCATTCTGCACAAGAGCCGTAATCATAGTATTCCATGACACAGCATCTCTTTCAGCCATCCCTTCAAAAACCTTAAAGGCTTCGTGAATATAATTACACCTTGAATACATAACAATAACTGCATTTAGTACAGTGACAGACAAAGTTGTTGGATTCTTCAATACTAGAGCATGCAGCTGCTGACCAATATTCATTTGCTGCATTTGTGAGACAGTGTTTAAAGCTGAAATATAACTAACATTATCTAGTGAAACATGCTCTGAACTAAGAGCCTCGACGAAAACATCAAGTGCCTCAATGTAACAGTTGTTCTGCAGATACCCACCAATCATGCTATTCCATACCTCAACATTCTTGTTCAAACACCCATCAAACAACTTCCTTGCTACATCAAGACAACCAATATCTGAGAACATAACAATTGCTGAGCTGACAGCATACAAGTCATCAACATATTCACCACCAAACTTGACAAGCATCCCATATAAAACATTGGCAAGCCTGTAATCACAAACACCCGAAACAGCCGGGAACACATTAACAAAGCTAACAGGGGTAGGTTTAATACCCATGATCATCATCAACCTAAAATACCTAACAGCCTCACCAAACCTCTCAGTTTTCACAAACCAAGAAATCAAAGTATTCCAAGCAACAACATCTTTCTTCTTCATAGTATTAAACACTCTACGAACAGGATCAACCTCGATATATTGCGAAACAACAGTACTAGCAAGACAAGTAGAGTACATATTCAACAAAGAATTATACACAATTCTACTAGCATGAATATGAGACCTTATAACATGACAATGAACAGCCTTACCAACCCTCAAATTCCGGGTATCAGCACAAGCCTTAAGAACAGAAGAGTATGTATAAGAATCACATTTAGTAGAAGAATTAGACCGCATTCGAGAATAAAACAAAAGGGCATCAAAGGGAAGATTGTTACAAATAAACCCAATAATTATAGTGTTCCAAACAACAGTAGTTGGTTTAGGCAATGCGTCGAACACTTGGCGGGCAATATGGGGTTGACCATCTCTGCAAAGTTGGCTTAAACGGGTACGAATTGTTGGGGTTTTAAGGGCTTTTTGGGGTTCATCAAGGGAAGGTAGAAGTGGATCTAAGAGAGAAAATTGTGAACTGGGAAGTTGCCTGTGAGATGAGAGATTGTTGGGTGGGAGTGGTAAGGGAAGTGGTAAGGATGAAGTAGACATGGGAGATGAAGTTTTGAGGTCTGGTTTTTGTTTCTGGGTTGAAATTTTTCTGAGTTTGAAGTTGCTTACTCCATTGATTGTTATGGTGTCTTCTTAGCTTGGGATTTTGTGAGCCTTAGCCAGTAGAGAGGTGTAGAATTGTGGATTAAGTGACTAGCTTATCCTTCCAAAATCTAATGTCTCTTCTTTTGGGACTACTGAAATTTTGAAGAATAATGAAGGTTAATTACTTGATTAGAAGGGGAGCCAAGCCAACTAGCCAAGCGCGAACTTGGCTTGCTCGACTCGATTCACAACTCAACCCAAGCTTGAACCTGTTGAGTTGGGAAATTATTATCTCGTTTTGAACTTGTGACCCGCTGAGTATAACTTGGTCAAAATTGACATGTGCCAACCTGAGCTTGGATTTGTCGAGATTAGAAATTTTAAAATTGACGATGTGGTATCTAAACTTGTTGAAACATGGAAATAATATGATAATCTGAATGAAAATTTATCAAAATTCACTCGTACTTGATTATCGAATCTATAATACCCAACACGTACCGAATCTCATGCAACCCAAAGTAACCTTTGCCAATTTGACCCCAGATTACTCAATCCGAACGTGTTTGAAGTTTGAACGACCCATTTACGACCACTAGCAAAAGGGCTGAAATCAAATACTGAGTAACTAGTACTACTTTAGTACTTTGCCACTTTAGGCTCTATCAAATGTTATGTTCTTCCCCCGCACGGCCGCGCCTCACCATTTCTGACTTGCAGGAGCTATCAAACACGACAGCAAACAAGCTCTGAGTTTCCATGATCAGGTCAGTTTCAAATCATTTAAAGGTCAAATCTTTCTTTCCAATTTCGTTTCTGGGTAACTTTAGGTTTTGCTCATTTCACCTGCTTTCAAGTATTTCTCTGTATATTATCATTCAAACACAAGGTTAAACCCTAAAACAGTTTAAATTAAGAACACCCTTTTATTAAATTTGCTTAATTCTCAAATTTTGCAATGAAAGTTTCTGGTTTGAGCAATTTTCCTCAATTCTAGGTAATTTAGCAAGAAAGAAACGGAATGTAATTCCAATTCCACATGGAACAATTCCTGAACCAAAAGGTCAAGACCTTGATTTTGTGAATGTAGCACATAGCCATCTTATACACTCTGATTGGGGAAAATTGGAGAAATTATCTAGTGGTTTTACCCCATTTAGATTTAAGCATGTATTGTTGAAGATTAAGAAGGATTATGTTCTTTCATATGAGTTTTATAAATGGGTTCAGCTCAAAAACCCTAAGTTTCACAACCTTGAAACTCATTCCATGATTCTCCATGTTTTGACCAAACACCGGAAATTTAAGTCTTCTCAGTCGATTATGAAGGATATACTGAGTTCGCGGTCTATTGATTTGCCACATAAGTTGTTTGAGGCTATATTGTACTCGTATCGATTGTGTGATTCGTCTGCTCTTGTGTTTGACTCGCTTTTTAAGACTCATGCCCATATGAAGAAGTTTAGGAATGCTACCGCGACCTTTTGCCACATGAAGGATTATGGGTTTCTTCCTACAATAGAGTCTTGTAATGCTTACATGAGTTCATTGCATAGTTTGAATCAGGAAAAAATTGCATTGGCTTTTTATAAGGAGATTCGGAAAAATGGAATTATGCCAAATGTTTATACTATGAACATGGTTATTTATGCTCATTGTAAGCTTGGTAGTTTGGAAAAGGCCTTGGAGGTGTTTCAGGATATGGCAAGTATGGGTATCTTTCCTACTGCAGCATCACATAATATACTTATGTCTGGGTATTGCAATAAGGGCCTCTTCACTTCTGCCGTGAAGCTAAAAGCCTTGATGGATAAGAACGGATTAAAGCCGGATAGTGTCACTTATAACACCCTCATCAATGGATTTTGCAAGCAAGGGAAATTGCATGACGCGAACAAGGTTTTTAGTGAGATGAAAGCTGCACGTGTGCCTCCAAATACTGTAACTTACAATACTTTCATAAATGGATATAGCCAGTGGGGTAATAGTGAGATGGGATATGAACTTTATGAAGAGATGCTGAAAGATGGGGTTAAGGTTGATATTGTGACGTATAATGCTTTGATATTGGGATTCTGCAAGGAGGGCAAGACTAAGAAAGCAGCCATTATGGTTAAAGAACTTGACAAGCAGAATTTAGCCCCAAATTCCTCAACCTATTCTGCTCTTATTTTAGGGCAGTGCAAGAGAAAAAATTCTGAACGTGCATTTCAATTGTACAAGAGTATGATAAGAAATGGTTGTTATCCAACTAGTAATACATTTGAGATTTTGATCTCTTCTTTCTGTCAGAATCGTGATTTTGATGGAGCAGTTCAGGTTCTGAGGGAAATGCTAGGGAGAAGTATGGCTCCTGGTCCAGAAATTCTCTCTGAGCTGTGCAATGGGCTTTGCCAAAATGGAAATGAAGATTTGGCCGTAAGCTTGCGCAATGAGGTGGAAGCTAGATGTCGTAGCTGAGGCTGAGGGGTTTTGGAGTCGCCACAAGGTTCTGTTGGAAGTCTGAAACAGAATGGCTTTACAGCCTTCACCTGATGAGCTCCACTTTTGAGGTTTAATACAAATACCTCTCTTCTGTTCCATTTGCTCTTATATTTATTTTGGCAGTTTTAAGTGTGAAACTACTTTTTCTAGGTGGATGAATAAAACTCAATGTCCCTCCTCACACTCACAAGGATGTATGATTATCGCATATTTCATAATATAACTATATTAAAGGATGAATCAAACCCTGTTGCCACCTAGTTCACATCTATCATACAAAATAAATAAAAAATAAAAATAAAAAAAGTGAAAGAAACATTGGAGTATGAAATGGATGAAAAGTTATACTAAATGAAATCCTCTGTTTGTGTCATTCTTAACAACATTTACTGATATTTATCATTATAGGACATTGGGAGTTTTCGATGTTGCATTGTAGAACTACTAGAGGTCCATTGAGGACCTTAATGTTCCCGGTGTCTATGTTAGGCAGGCAGTCGGGAGATTGTTACATGGCAAGTCTGTAAATGGATATAGCTCTACAACTGGGCTGACAAAGCAGGAGTTAATAGGAGTTGGTCTAAATCAACTCTTCTTATGGGATCTTCTTTGAGAAAACTTTGGCAGAGGGAGCTGATTTTAGAGTTCTTAGAGGATGAGTAGTGCTATTGTATAAGAACCATGATCATCGTAATCTCTAAGCAGTCTACCACAAGTTCACAACTCATCCGTCACCTATTGTTTAAGAACCATGCTCACCATCATTGGATTGTTACGAATCAACTGAGAGGTACAGCAGGCCGGCAGCGTGTTTACCATTTTATCTTTATCTTTTTACAAGGAGGATGGGGATGTACTCAATACCACCCCAATGTTAAAACTTAGAACTATCAAGAGGTGATTTTGATTATGACTTTGTAAGATGTTACAACTTTACTTATGTTATATTGTTACTGTAAAGTTAACCCTTCAAAGTTCATACTGGAAATACCCATATTGCATCAGACAAGAAATGAATGTAGCATGTATTGAATCGATACCAATCTTACATTACAATTGAAATGAAGGGAGATGTGTAGATCATACAAGACTCAAACTCCCAAACCTTACTACAAACTACCTAGCATCTCCGAATCGTTTTTTTTTTTTTTTTTTTTTTTTTGGCATAAAGAATTTGAACTAGCTACAAAATAATGATACTAACAAGTATGGCAGAGTAATTCATATAGCCAGCATTAGAAAACAAAAGGCCTAGAAATTTTGAGACTGCAAAAAATCAGAAAGGGTGACCCTAGAAATGGGATGACGATGATGATTATCCTTCTTTTTCTTGAACTGTTTAGATGTCATCTTCAAGACCTTCTTCCAACCCTGCATTCATCCAAACATAATAAGTTAACACCAATTATAAAACACTCTCCTTTCGGCTCGATTAACTTAGAGTCTCAGACAGTTACAGTTAAATCTCGTCTACATTACTATCTTTTGCGACTTCCAATACAATACTACCCAAATAGCTTAAGTGCAAAATCAAAGATCTTACCTTTTTGGAAGGAGGAGACTGAAACTCGGAAGAATCATTGTTACACTTCAACATCTTCTTCTTTTTCTTATTCTTCTGAATTTTAGCAGTTAAATTCAACCCAAAAGTACAAATCTTCTTCTTAATGTTACTAGACATTGAAATTTTCTCAAAAGAAAGCCTTCTATTCAAATCAGGGGACTTGGGGTTCAAACACGAAAGAGAAGTAAAACCAGGGACTAATGGGGACCAAATTGAGCTTTGCGAGTAGTCGAAACCGAAACCGGAATAATCAGGGTATTTGCTAAGAAGATTGTTTGACATTGAAGTATCTAAGTATTGAATTACTATTGCTTCTTTTTCTTTGAATTCGGGTTCTTTTAATTCTTCTTCCATTTTTTTATTTTTTTTTTGTTTTTTTTTTTTTTGCTTTTTGGGGTTTAATTTTTTACTTTTTTGAGGGTGTTTCATTTTTCTGCTTTTTGATTTTTGGTAGCCGTTGAATTGTTTGGGGTAGAAGATGAAGTGAGAAGTTGGTTGTTGAGGGATGAAACAGGGGAGTTGAGAGAAAAGGTTACCGTTAGAATCACGCCAAAATTGAGCAGTTAAAATATTTAAAAAGGCGGTGAGTTCATAATCTAGATTTTTTTTTTAGGAAATTCATGATCTAGCTTCTAGTACATCTGTACTTGCACAGTTGCATGAGATACACCCCGCTCAGGCTAATTAATTATATATTCCTACACTCTAGTGTAGGTAACATTACCTACACCCCCACTATCCACTTTCCCCAAACAACACACTATTATAGTTTACTTTTTACACCCCAAAAAAATAAAAGATAGAAGCATTGTTTTCTCTCTCTCCTAAAATTAGTATACACTTTTAATCTTCACTCTCCATTCTCTCTTATCAAAATTTGCAAAAATATTTACTTAAAAACTCGAAATTCTTTATAAAAATCAAGTGTGGTCTTTGATATAAGAGATGAAGTCACATAATTGCAAGGATATAAAATCAAATTGTAAGTTATTTTTGGAAGAAAAAAAGTGCAAACCCTAACTTTTTGCCATATTATTCAATTATTTTCAGTAAACATATTAAAATTTTGATAGTAGCTCTTGAATTCTTATACTTTTTTATCATAAAAGTGATTTAATATATATACACTCTTCTGTGTTGAATTAATTTATGGTGTGTTGTTTGATTACAACATTGTTGAACATAAAAATTGAAAACAGAGTTTAATTGTCCTTATTTTATGGATAATATTATCTATTTCGTAAAATTATATAAATGTAAATTTAGTTCATAGTGAAAATTATTTTTTTTATGAATGTTCAGTTTCATTTACATAAATGTTCATTTATATATTAGTAAGCGGTCATTCACATATTAATAAACGATCTACATAATGAATTCTAATAATCTCTTAATGATGTCTATTTTTGGCCGATTTCTTCACATATTTTCTATAGGTATAGTTAATTTAGTTCATAATGAAAACTATTTTTAATGCTCGTTTGACTTTTAACACTTGTTCATGTTCATATTGAAAAATGCTCATGTATATTTTAATAATTGTTCATTTTTATATTGCACTATATATGATCATTTGCTAATAATGGGTCCATATTTGTATGTGTAAATGTTTATTAATGGTTTAAAAATTAGATCTCTTATTACACAGGATAATTGTATAAGAAAATTGAAGACATCGATGTATATATTGAGAAAGGATATGTATTAAAAACAATACACAATAAAGATGATTTTATATATCTTTTATTTATATGAAATATATTAAATGACAATGTATTGAAATGGTAATTGAAGTTCATTTTTCTATTGATATTGTGTTTATATTTACAATAATATATGTTCATTTACATATGGGTAAATGTTCATTCACATATATATATGCAGATAATTATTTTAATAGATGTTTATTTAAATTTTATTAAATGTTCAATTGCACATTAAAAGATATTCATTCAAGTTTAATAATTGTTCATTTTTTATGTTGTAAAATGTTCTTTGAATATTAATACCACGCATTAAATATAAGAGACAATGTTCATTTTAATAGACAATTTTTGACATTTTGGAAGCTAAATAAATGCTTATTTCTATTTTATGAATTTCATTTTAATATTGGTAGCTAGATGATTTAAAACATCTAGTATGTAAGTTATATTTCTAATATTGATTGCTCTTCCTTATGAAAAGTAAACAAGTCGTTAATGGTCAATGATACAAAATTCAATGCTCATATTAGAAAAGCAATATCTTCATAAACAAAAAACCTAATGTTCAAACCGACTTCGTGATAGTCTTTCGATTGCCCAAACAATAATGTTCACTTTCGTGTTTATGAAACAATTACATATAATAGTATAGTTGTATGGAAATGCATTATTATTGCAATTAAATTGAATTTATTTTATATTGGATTTTTTTTTAACAACTCTTTATTTATGTAAATACAATTCTAAGATGTATGTATTTGCATACATCTTACTATAAAACTTACACATGGCTATTGAAATGAAAATTTCATGATACAAAAATGAACATATGTTGAAACATGAATAAACAAAAATGTACATTGGATGATGCAATAGTTCTAATAATAAAAATGTTTTAAACGCAACAATCCATATAAATAAATTTGCTCTCATTTTTATTGATTAAATATTCTTAAAATTCAATTTATAAAATATATTAATTTGAACAAAAACTCTTATATAAAAATGAACATTTAATGATTTATAAATGAACATTTACCAATACAGAAATGAACATATTACAAAAAAATTATAGAAAATTCATAAATGAAAAGAGGCGGGGGCGGGGCACGCGCGGAGGGGGGTGCAGGCAGTGTTCCCTGCCGTAGAGTGTAGGTAAAAATTTGTACCCTCAAGCCCCTCATTTTTAACTAGTCCCAACTCTCAAGTAGGATTGTGCATCGGCCCGCATCGAATTGGCCAGTTTTGCCCGAATTTAAACTAGATTGGACCATTTTATAATTCGTTAAAGTAATTTCATTTGAAAGTTAAGTTGTTTCATAGTAATATGAATCTCATTTGCTATATGATGATTTTAAATTGATTGATTCATAGTAACATACGCTACAAATTTACTTCTTTAGTTACAAGATTATATAATTGTATGTTTTGAAATTTTAAACTATTCATACATTTTCATTGATTATATTTTGTTATGTATACATATAAAAAAAATTAATAATCATGTGAAATTTTTTAAAAATCCTTTCGAAATCTAGTATCATAAATCTTTTGTTTTTTTTAATTTGTAAATAATAATTAAAGCTATTATAATGATATTCGGAATAAATGATTTGTAATGAAGTACAAGTAATTTTTTTTATTTTTTATTTTCTTTTCATGAATCAAATCCATTCTTTAATATACACTGCATAGCACACTGCACACCCATGAAGGGTCATGCCCACTGAAGGCATAACTCACAAGTCACAAACAACATCAAAATATTCCAAAATAGATTTATTCTAGTATATTGTACCATACTACTTTAGAGGAGATTTTTTTATGTGTTTAATGTACAAGAAAAGGCAAAAGAAAAAGGTAAAAATGGCCCTATTTTGAGTGAAATGCAAGCAATACATGAATCAATGAAAAATGGCAATTTCAATACTAGTATAATTTAGATGTAAGTTCTCCCATTTCAAGTAAGCACATATTCCAATCACCATGCTAGAGGATTTGCACATATTATATTCTCCATTACAGTAATTTAATTTTTCTCTATAAGGAGTGCCTTGGTCTTCTAATCCATTGCCTATTTGCCTTACACTCCTTAAGTTGATTTTAATAACAATGGCTGTCTTGTTTAGAGCACGTCCAACTCGTCCTAGCACTCTCGATTTTATCATCGTACTTGTGTCCATATTCGTATTTTCTCTCTTCAACATTTGCGGTATGATTCTTATTGTATATATTGAATTTTTCGATTTTGATTTATTGCTACGAATACCATGCATAAGTGTATCATGCCTTTCCTATGTAACATGATACAATTATTACGTTGGTAAGATTGTAAATTCATTATATCTTAAACAGATGATGTGGTATGACCTGAACTATCTTAGATGTGGTATGACCTTTGTAAGTTATAACTAACTTTTTTGTGAATTTTGATGAATTGATTGTAGATGCCGGAAGATTCCTAGAGAGATTTAAATTAATGACAGGATTGAAATTTTCATACTATCAAAATCCAGAGTCTGATACATTTGACCTACCAACACTTGATGCATATGATGATTCATGGTTAGCACCTTCACCCTTAGCTCCAACTCCCACAAATTTAATATTCAACCCACCAGACAACTCCCCTAGTCCAAGCCCATACGCAGCTCCTCCGATGTCGGGACCGCCTGTTAGCGAGGCCAGCCCAACTCCCGGCGGTCCGGTCGTGCTGCACCCTGGGCCTTCTCAGCTCTCATTACAGCCCGCTGGGCCTCCAAAACACGGTTGGGGCCAACCGGGCCATGAATACGCGGTTTGGTGTGTTGCTAGGCCCACAGTGCCTGAGACCATGCTCCAAAGGGCCATGGACTATGCTTGTGGAAATGGGGCTGATTGTGGGTCAGTTCAGCCCAATGGGCCTTGCTTTGTGCCCAACAATTTGGTGGCCCATGCTTCATATGCTTTTAATAGTTATTGGCAAAGGGTTAAGATTGCTGGTGGCACTTGTGATTTTGGTGGCACTGCTATGCTAATTACTGTTGATCCAAGTAAATATCTCAAATTCATTCTTAAATTAAAATCATATTATACATGAAATTATAAATTTTATGTTTTGAGTTTTGATTTGTGAAATAATGTTCTTTGCAGGTTTTAATGCATGTCATTTCATATATAATTGATCGATAGTTGATGACAAGGTCCGATACTTTCATATGTACTCAAGTATTTTTATTACAAAAGTATTTTCCTAGCACTTGAATTTAGTTTTTGTGTGACGATATAAAGTATGTAAACGTAATATAATTTACTGTTTTGTAACTTTACGGTCATCCTTTTAGCGAGTGATGGAAGTATTTGTACATGAGAAATAAAATAATAGATTTAACGATACAAATTATATGAGTCAAATCAAATAAAATTATAGTTATTTGATTTCATGTCAGATGGAGAATATGTTTGGACTTCTCTGAATAACTTTGATCATAATATCAAATTAGATCATATATTGTCGATTCTACATACGAGCGATAAGAAGGTAATAAGAGAGGTAGTAGGTTAAACAATTGACAAACTAATTGTTTTTATCGAGTTTTGCTAAGGAGACATTCACGACGAATCCACACACAAAAAAACAAGCCTACTTCGAGAATTATAGCTACAATTACAAATAGAAATAATAACACAGCATGGTATATATGGTCCAATAATTGATAATGGTGAATTTTTAATTTTAAGGACAAAAAAAAGTATATAAAATATAATCCTTGATTTAAGAAAATGGAGACAATCTAAATTACTATTCAACAATCAACACCACCTACCTAGAAGATGAGGCAAGGCACCAATTGTCAATAGAAAAGGGCAAACAAAATATTATCAAGGGTTTTGTCTTGTATCAATTTTACTTCAATTTTCAGAAAATATTGGTACATGTATATTCTATTAGGGAATAATCGATTGAACGACTTTTAAAATTAAGACGTGACCTTATCAAGTTGTCGAGTTTTATTTTCATATTTTCGTAACATTTACGATGAAATGGGTTGTTTTGTTCAATTATTATGGAGTATTGTTTAATTTTGTACTACTATAGTTATGACATTTAAAGAATATTGGATGTTTTGTAATCTATAAATGATGATACATACATGTTCTTCATTTTTAAATTTCTAAGGTTAAGAATTTAATAAAAGTTGACTACACAAAATAAAGTGTGAACTATTAAGAGAGTACGGTAGATGATGAGATGAGTTGAGCTGAGCTGAGCTGAGCTATATGGTGTTGCTCGACTAACGTATATCACTTACACTAAGCTAACATCCAAGCTAGAGTTGAGAATTTGGCTTTTTGAGCAAATTTTTGAAATCAATTGAGCTTAAAAATAGTTGTGTTTAGTTCATGAAAATCTGAAATTGTGTTCTTTTCTAAAATACTAAATACTCTGTATAATAAAATCTAATTTCAAAATATTTATTTTCTTGAATTACATAGAATATCATAAAGCGTCAATTCACCATTTCACTATCAGATCTCTACTAATCATCAGGTAAATTGTCAATTCGCCAAGCATGTCTAGTATACAATGAACTATGTACATAAACCCTTATCTAAATTCTCTTTGGCCGACAACCAAGCATGTCAAGTGTACAACTATACATGCAAAAACCCTTATCTGAATTCACTTATATTGTGAGATTATTATTAATACTTCGTACAATATATTATGAACATATATGATCATGTAAATAGCGATTTCTATATTTTTTAAGTACATGAGAGTGAGAAATAGCTCAAGTGGTTAGAGTTTCCCTCTCAATTTCAAGGGAGAATACACAAAATGACAAAGAAGAAGAGAAAAAAGGGAATCCAACCTCCCCTTAGCTAACAACCACTAAAATTATAGGAAAGTCAAGTGACTATTATTTTGTTCAATTTACATATTTGCATGGATATTTGTGTGCATTGGTGTTGCTTCACATGGCTTTAAGACTACAGTGATATGCTAAGTCACGGACTCTATTGTTCTTGTCTTTTAGATGCCATTAAAGGCACTAGCTAAAGTTCATATCTCAATTATTGAGAACATTTCACTAATTAAACTAGGGTGGCTAATGGGGCATATATATTTAGATATGTTTAGAGAGCTTTTTCGGTTTAGCCTTATGTCACAATTTTAATTATTGGTGATATTGGTGAGGGAAAACTTGTAAACAAATTAGAGATATAAATATCCTCACATACACTATTCGTAAGAGTTTATTAAAAGAGGCAATTAATATTAATGAGGGAAAATAAGTAAGAGTACATAAACATTTTAAAAAATATAATTGTCCAAACATTATTAATAAAAGTTATCTCAAACTTTTATAAATTATTAAAGGTACGGTCGTCGTAGACTCATAGGGAATTTGGGACTAGGGATATATTCTTTCCTTCTCAATTCATTTACCCCATTTTCCTTAAGATATTAAGGTTCGTTTATGGTGTATAATTTACTTACAATATTTCTTTTTAATAAAGAATTATACTTGAATTAGATCATGTGCTAATCCACCCATTTTTCAATCTCTACATACATTCAATTTAATTTGTTATCTATATATAAATTGTAATGACTAAGGGACACGTAAATTGAGATGGATTGGGTATTTCTTTTGTCAAATAATACTCCGTAGGGCAGTTCATTGATCCAAGATCGAAAATTAGAATTTTAAGAACCGAAAACTAAACCGACTAAGCTAGGACCAAATCCGGACCAGACCGAAAGAACCGGTCCAAAACCCGGACCGGACCGCTTTGGACCGATTTAAGAATTTTTTAAAAAAAAATTCTAATTTTTTAAGAATTTTATGAAAAACTAAAAAAAAGTAAAGGGAAATCTACACTTTTTTTTTGTATAATTAGTACAAAAAAGCTCATAAATTTAAAGTTTTTTAAGCTTATTAAGGATTATCTTAACCATTATCTAAAGTTTCGCGCATATTTCAATAAAAAAAACGGTCCAAACCAACACTGGTTTTAATAGGGTTTTGGCCCGAATCGGGCCGAAGACCGGAAAAATAAATTTCTAGACCCGAAAATTGGGAAAATAAATCCGATCCCGGGTCGGTCCGAGGTGATCCGCTCCATTTATTCGGTCCGGATCGATTTATGAAAACCCCTACTCCATACTAATTATTGGGTTAATTTTAAAATAGTAGTCTTCACTCTTGACTTGGTGAAACAAGAGTACCCCATTAGCAAAAAAATCCAAAAATTATCCAAGTTGTTGCCCGTCTTACTAATCCCTAGTCAATAAAATTGACAAAGCGTAATTAATCTCATATCAATATATCATTGTTCCATATAAATCCAATGACGGCAAGAAAAGGGGCTCTCAAAAGAGAATTTACTTCTTCTAACTTTTTTTTTTTTTTTTTTTTGGACAAGAGCAAATGTACATCACAGATAAAGCTAAGAAAACTATAACCATTTATCAAAACTAGGGCCAAATTTTAATTTGCTTCACACTAGCTAACGGATCCATTTTTACAGTGTTTGAATTGATATTAAAATCTCTATTTTTTTTACTCCGTTTTTTTTTTCCTTTAAAAAAGTGTGAGATAATTATTATGAATAATATTTTGACAACTATTACCCTCTAAAATATTTATTTATTATTTACCCTTATTACTTATTAATTGTTTTTTTTTTATTCTTAAGAATAGTATGTGGACATTTATCCTCTAAAAATATTTGTCTACATATTTTTTTCTCATTAATGTTTCCTCCATGAGGCAAAATTAAGAGAGTTTTCCGCACATAACTAGTATTAAGAAAAGTAAAAAGTTTTCAAGGGATTTGTAAGAAAGTGAAATTAATTGGTCGGTACAAATATGAGAGGTAAAAGCTGTAAAATTTTCTAAAAGTGTTATAAATAGAGCAAGTTACTTGCATAGATCCTAAGGCACTTATAGTAAACCTCCTACGTACGGAGTTAAAACTTTTTATCTTGTAAAATATCTACACTAAATATAACTATAAAAATAATCGTAAAACAAGTTTGCAAAAGTAGTATATAAAATACTCGATAAACAAAAGTTACTGAATACAAACCAGTCTAATATCGTGAGATGGATGAAGTGTAGTTTTATTTATAGGATTAGTGTAAAGTTCAAATATTAGCAAATCTTTCAACTAACTTTTTTTAACAGCCCCTATTAAAAAAATTCTTATATTATTTTCTTAGTATGTAGTAGTAGTAATGATAGAAGTGTCGATGATAACTGAACAAATTATTACAAAGTACATGACACAATATCATTTTAACACACCATATCATCATTTTAAGCAAAGATAGAAAGTTGGAGTAAAGTAACGTTAAATTTCTCTTATTATTTCTGTAAATTGGTAACAAACTTTTGTACTTGTAGAGTTACAGCTATACCTCACTCCCTCATTCATTCATCTTGTGACTAAATTTCACGTTGGATTTTCCTATAAGAAGGCCACTCTTATTCTCACTCTTATCATTCATTGGTCATTCTAAGCTCTCCAATATGGGACCATATTCATTACTTACTCTTTTCCTTCTTTTTAATTTTGGTACATTTTTCACTACTTTAGCATGCCCTTATTGCCCATATCAACCACCTCCTAAGCCACCCAAGCCAGCTTGTCCCCCTCCTGAGCATCCACCACACTCGAAACCGCCTCATCATTCGCCCTCCGGAAAGCCACCGAGCTACCCTCATAAACCACCTCACCATGATCAACCCCATAAACCACCTCATTCTCCCTCCGGAAAGCCGCCGAGCTATCCTCACAAACCTCCTCATCATCAACCACCCCATAAACCACCTCATCATCCCTACAAACCACCTAAGCCGCCTTCCTCGAAACCACCTCACCATCCTTACAAACCACCTTACACACCTAAACCTCCTACAGGTTCACCACCCAAGTCTCCTCCTTACACTCCTAAACCACCTCATCATACCCCTAAACCTCCTGTTGTAACCCCACCTTACACTCCTAAACCACCTCACACCCCTAAACCTCCTGTTGTGACCCCACCTTACACACCTAAACCTCCGGTTAGCCCACCACATTACCCGAAACCACCCGTTGTAAGCCCTCCATACAGCCCACCTTACACTCCTAAACCCCCCACTGTGAGCCCACCATACACACCAAAACCAAGCCCACCATATAGCCCACCCTACACGCCTAAACCGCCAAGTGTGAGCCCACCATACACACCAAAACCACCAAGTGTGAGCCCACCTTACACACCAAAACCACCAAGTGTTAGCCCACCATACACACCTAAACCACCAAGTGTGAGCCCACCCTACACACCAAAACCGAGCCCACCATATAGCCCACCCTACACACCGAAACCACCAAGTGTGAGCCCACCATATAGCCCACCCTACACACCAAAACCACCAAGTGTGAGCCCACCATACACACCCAAACCACCAAGTGTGAGCCCACCATACACACCCAAACCACCAAGTGTGAGCCCACCATACACACCAACACCACCAAGTGGTAGCCCACCATACACACCAACACCACCAAGTGGTAGCCCACCATACACACCAACACCACCAAGTGGTAGCCCACCTTACACACCAACACCACCAAGTGGTAGCCCACCATACACACCAACACCAACACCAACACCTCCAGTAGTAACCCCACCATACACACCAACACCACCAAGTGTAACCCCAAGTCCACCAACAACACCGGAAACACCATGCCCACCACCACCGCCTTCGAAACAACCAACATGCTCCATAGACTCCCTAAAGCTGAACGCATGTGTTGACGTGCTAGGAGGACTAATACACATTGGCATAGGAAGTGGTGCTAAGGATGCATGTTGTCCCGTGTTAGGTGGACTAGTTGGGTTAGATGCTGCTGTTTGTCTTTGCACCACAATTAGGGCTAAGCTTTTGAATATTAACGTTATTCTTCCTATTGCTCTTCAAGTTTTGGTTGATTGTGGCAAGACTCCTCCTCCTGGATTCCAATGTCCTGCTTATTAGTTCTTTCTTTTTCTTTTTTTAATGTCTTTCTAAGTGATTAAAGTTTTGGTGAATAATAAACTTTATGTTATAGTTTACACTAGTACGTGTTATTATGAGCGGTTATTTGACAATCTGTATCTTTAATTATTTATGAGGTTTGACGAGTTACGTGTAGTATGCCAAAAGGATTGGATTTTATCTATGATCAGATTAGTTGATCATCATGATAATCGACATTTTGATACGAATTCAACAACATCACACATTTGATACATATTATATATAACATACAAGAATTTATGAAGTAAATTTTAAACATAAATCACCAATATGGTCAAATTCTTATGAATAATAAGGGCTTGTTTGGTTCGCCTTATTTTTGCTGGTCTGATCTGATCAGAATATCAAATTTGATCAAACTTTGACCTTGAATTTACGATAATCTATACGGAATAAATGTATGAAGTGAAGTATTGTTAAAAATTCGTAATAATGTAAATTCAAAAAATATCGTAATAATGTGTATTTTTATTAATATGTAATTTTCACAATTTTTCATTATGAAATTAAAGATATTTAGCAATAAAAAACTGCACATAAAATGATGATCTGATCTGAACTTTTTTTTATTATTATTTGAACTTAATAAGTAGAAATAAGGTGAACTAAACAATACTATAAGTGTGAGGGCTTCAAAAAAAAAACTATAGGAAGGTATAATGTAGTACTTGTAGACTGGTAATATGGTACATAAGTAAAAGGATAATGGAACAAGTTTCATATATCAAGAAAGGTAAGGTAATACAAAAGTAAATGACTTTTGTATTGGTTAATTTGTATTATTATTCACGTGAGAGAATCTACAAATTAAATGTCAAGGGGTGTATGATTGAATTGCAAGGCAATATTGTTATCCTTTTTCTAGCCTAGGGTTTTACTTTTTTTCTTTTGAGGTATGATTGATTGAGCATTTGAGCATGATAATTATGGTATTGTGGAGTTTTAAGAGCATCACATGATTGAAGTTTCTCTATATATCAATGCTCACTCGCTTTCTAATAATTACACCATAATATCGACATGTCATTGTTCCTCTTTCTTGTAGTTATTTACGAGTTTTGTATATATAACATTTTTTTAAATGCTTTTGTATATAATAAGTACTCCCTCCGTTTTTAAATACTTGCTCCATTATCCTTTGTATATAATAAGTACTCCCTCCGTTTTTAAATACCTGCTCCATTATCCTTTGTATATAATAAGTACTCCCTCCGTTTTTAAATACTTGCTCCATTATCCTTTGTATATAATAAGTACTCCCTCCGTTTTTAAATACTTGCTCCATTATCCTTTGTATATAATAAGTACTCCCTCCGTTTTTAAATACTTGCTCCATTATCCTTTGTATATAATAAGTACTCCCTCCGTTTTTAAATACTTGCTCCATTATCCTTTGTATATAATAAGTACTCAGTGGTTAAATTTAACATTTTTTTTTATGTATATAATAAGTACTCCCTCCGTTAATATTTGTTACTCAGATGGTTAAATTTAACATTTTTTTTATGTACATACATAATACATTAAAGAACATATTGTATGATGTAAAAAACATATAGTTCAAGGTCAAAAAACATAATGATCAAACTCAATAAACATATATGTTGCGTTCTTTAATGTCTATAATGTTCTTTTTTTCGTCCATATTCTTTAAAATATACATAATGTTCTTTTTTTGATGCACCATACATCCAAGTGTACTGTAAAAATTTCAATGTTCATACACTTCAAAGTCAATATAACAAGTATGTTTAGTGTTTGTTATATATGGGCATATTATTATATTCAACCTATTACAACTATTAGAAAATTAGAAGTGAATTGAATTATCTAGTCATGTCCATGTGCGAGTAAATGCAACAAGTAACAACCGAAGAAAATTTTGGATACAAAAGGCGCACAAAAAGTGTCAAGAGGTAACTTTTGAGTAATGGAGTATGACCCTAATAAACAGCATCATTCAACAAGCCCAAAATATTAGGGACCAGTCCTTGTCCAAATAACTTGGGCCTCCCAGCACCATGCCATATATTTATCATTTTTATGGACCAAACTGCCTAGTCCGGTCCATTTTCATCAAAAAAAGCACTTTTTTTTTTTTTTTTTTTTTTTTTTTTTTTTACACACAAAAAAAGAAAACAAAATAATAGCTCCTCGCATATAAAATATCAAGTATGTTGAAGATTGACCCGATTTGTAATACTTATGTCCAATCACAACTTGATTTGAGTGTATCTTCGACCCTTGATTTTGTGAGAAATCGACTTCTTAGATCATTATTACATATATATTTATAACGGGGATTTTCATGGTTTTAGTATATGTTGAACTTTAAAGACATCCCTTGGAGCTATAGAATGAAAGAAGCTAAGACGGTTGTGTATTGTACATGATTTAATTTAGTCGGAGTTGTCTAGCTTACCTTTCACAAAACTATGTTCATGTAGATCATCCCATTTATGATTAAAAAAAATAAGTACACTCCTGATTACCCAATCCCTATTCTTTAAACAGCCCAATCATTTGATTCAAACATAACCTTATCTGAGCTTGTCTCTACACGACTAATACCTTGCACAAGGGCAAATTAGTAGTTTTTCGTATGCATACTAACAACATAAAGTTGGTCTCACCATCGCATTACTTCAATAAAAAAAAAATGTTAGGGCAGATTGGACTTAACTTCATTTTACAAGAATAACAATTAAATTGACATAAACTATATAGATTGTTTATAACATAGAGTCGCATATTCTAATTTATCAAATTAGACACCGAATTGTGCTAGGATTTCAAATCCTTACATCCTACAAGGATAAGGGTAAAAATTACCGTATTTTCGTTATTACAAAGTTACAAATCAACACATAAGTTTTTTTTTTTTTAAATTTTTTTTAAAGAGCTACAAGGTCAAGTGATAAAATCCCAAAATTGAGAGAAAAGCTTTAACCACTCAATTTAACCCTTACCCTCGCAGTCTCGCCAAACATAAGAAAATGAGAAAATATGGTTTAGACTTTAGAAGCTCGGACTAATCAAACCCAGGTCAGACTAATCAAACCCATTCCTAAAAGTCCGTTGTAAGAAACACAAAACTAAACTAGGGTCCCAAAAAATTTCATTCTTCTTCGCACTTCACCTGTTCGACTTCTCTCACCTTGTTCTCTCCTTCCTTCGTAAGATCGCCGTCGATCTATCAAAAATGGTTAGAGGATCGCTCAAAAACCTCCTTTCTAAATCTCTCTCCTTCGCCGGAAAATGGCCGCAGCAGCAGCAGCAGCTCCGCCGTCTCAACATCCACGAGTATCAGGTATATCGCTTTGTTCGTCAATCATTTCTAATTTTTATTTGGATTTGTAATGATTTTAATCAGTGTTATTAGGTATTTGTTGATTTTAATTTTGTTTTGTTAATTCCATTTTTGTAATTTTCAAGAGTTTTCATATCTATTTTGGATGTATAAATGTAAGGAATTGAAGATATTAAATATATTGCGTAGTTGAATACAAGTTTGAATGTTGAATTTTGAGCTTGTGTACTTCAATGGATGATGTTGATTTGTATTTTGGGATGTTATGTTTATTTATTTTTGTAATTTGTAATACGAAGTATATGTTTGCAATTTTTAAGATTTTTCTATAACCTTTTGGATGGATTAATGGAAATGATGTATAAAAATGTGGTTAGTTTCAGCAAATTGAGCGAAATAAGCTAGGGGAAAACCTAATTTAGTCGAACCGTGTGCTTTACTGGTGCTGAATGTGGGTAGATAACGATTTATGAATAACAATGATGATGATGATGATGATTTGTTCCCGTTGTGTGTTTGTGTACGTGCGCGATTGTGAATGCAGGGTGCTGAGCTCATGAGCAAGTATGGTGTCAATGTTCCTAAAGGAGTTGCCGTATCTTCTGTTGACGAAGTTCAAAAAGCCATCAAAGAATCTTTTGCAGGCCAGGATGAGGTAAGCTCTATGATTTTTATAGCCTTTTAGTCGAGAGTTGATTTCAGTATGCTTTGTGTTTGTCTGTTTGGATATGTTTATGCAATACGGAGTAGTACTTTGGTTTTGGGGGTGGAGGTTGCTATTGAGCTACTTGGGGATCCATCTATTTATGTCGAGAGTTGATTTCAGTATGCTTTGTGTTTGTCTGTTTGGATATGTTTATGCAATACGGAGTAGTACTTTGGTTTTGGGGGTGGAGGTTGCTATTGAGCTACTTGGGGATCCATCTATTTATGTTGTGTGCAAAGCTGAAGTTTTCAACCTCTTATATTCGCTTTGAGTAGTGTCATTGTTTTAACAACATCAACATTATTCAACAGGCTTCTACTGTGGACAGGGTGAAGGGTGGTTATATTATTCAGTTTGTCCCTATTTTTTTGTATATGCCTCCACAACTCCACTTATATTTTGTGGTCACTTTCTTTTCCCTTTTCTTACATACCCTTCCTTGATCCCTAAGTTCATTCCAGATCATGACATAGATAGGCGCATGTTGTGTAGGTGGATTTGTAAAATAATAGATAATCTTGAAGCACATTACAATTACTTGTTTTTGCGATGTACGTAGTATCTTGCAACGTTGCCATAATTTGGAGGCTGAGGAAGTTTAGGATGTTGAATTGTTACTTTGTTAGTTGATTGATTTCTATGTTAATTTTTCACGTCATTCTGGTTGTGAGGCCCTGATATAAATCATTCTATAATAAAATGGATTTCCTTTATTCTGGTGTAGGTGGTTGTTAAAAGTCAAATTCTTGCTGGTGGACGTGGATTAGGAACATTTAAAAATGGGTTAAAAGGTGGAGTTCACATTGTTAAGACAGATCAAGCTGCAGACATAGCTGGTACACACTAGCCCCCTTATTTTTCATTTACATGACCTATTACTTATTTGTGCTTTTGTCTTGTTAGTATGCATTTTGTTGTTTGTTGGAACATCTCCATTTTTGCATCTCATATGTTTCTTTATGTAAACACAGAAGAAGTGATTTACTTATGTGAAATTTATGTCAGTTGAATTCTACACTGCATCTATACCTTGATTATGGGTTTGGGATGATTTCATAGCATTGACCAGTCGTGTGATACTTTTTTATATAGTATATTAAAGCCTATCTATAGCTTATTAAAACATCTATAATTTGTCATGCTGGAGCATGGAG